AGATATGAGCTGAGGGCCGGTTGGCATGCCAGACTCATACTGAGGGCCTGAGGGTATTCCAGTCCGATGACTGAGTGTACCCGTTGTATATTGGTATTCAACCTAGGGTATTCCGTCCCGAGGATGAATGGACCCGGAGGTTGACTAGGCCTGGGGTATTCCAACCCGATGGTTGATTGGACCCGACATGTTGTTGTATATGTTATATGTTTGTGTGTTGGTACTTTGGGGGAACTCAATAAGCTTTGGCTTACGGTTTTTAGTTGTTGTTTCAGGTACTTCTGATGATGATGGGAAGGCGAAGGCGTGACCGTACACATCCTCTGTTTATGGATTTATGATTTTGGGGTACTCTGATATGGATAAACAATTTGGAAACAATGATTTTGTAAACATTTTATGACTATGGGTTGTTTTTAAAAGTTTAAATTTTTTGTGATTTTTGAATCGTTACATCTTGCGATTGTGTTGATTTCTGCTATTAGTTCAGGTGAGTTTTCTCACTATATTACATGTGTCGTTATTAGATCCATAGTATGTAGGATGCCTATGTAATGTTATGGTATGATTGTATGATTAGTTAGACTAATGGAGTCTTACTTGATTGATTGGTATGTATGTATGTATGTATGTATGTATGTATATATATATATATATATATATATATATATGCTTTACATAGGATGATGGCAGAATGGCTCTGACCATGAGCCTATCGGCTGAGGGGTGAGGTTCACGAAAGTGGTCGTATACTTAAATCATGAAAGTGCTCGCAATTCCATCTCCCAAAAGTGGTCGTGGACAGCTGACACAAAAGCGGTCGTTGACAGTTATCACGAAAGTGGTCGTTAGTATGTAATTGTATGAATGGTTGTTACAATGGTATATGTGGTATATCGGGGAACTCAATAAGCTTTGTTTATACGTTTTAAATTTAAATTATTTTCAAAGGGAAGAGTACGACTTGAGTATATACGCATTGGGACGTTACACCCAACCTCAAGGTGGTGATATTAAAGATTAGTCGGCTATTAAATCTTATATTAAATATTGGTTTTACTCTAAGTGTGATGCATGCTTCGCCTTCAAAGACTTACGAGACAACCTTGATGAATGCTTTAGCTGATTGTGACTCCAACATTGATGAAGTGGAACTGGTGATGCAGATTCTCCGATAACTTCCATTTGTCTTATCATAGTAGTGTTGATGTCATCACTAAAACGAATCCATTTCCATCATTTCGTGAAGCAAAAAACACGCTTCTTATTCATGAGGCACATGAAGAAGCTACTGATCCCTCCAGTGATGCCCCGCTTTCCTCCACGACGGCTTTAAAATCCTTTATCGCATCACATGGAAAATCGAAAAATAAGTTCAATAGGGGAAAGAATAGTGGGCAAGTTGCTTCTAAAGGTTGGGGTAATATTAACATTTATTCTAGCTCTAATTCTTTTTTGGGTACGCTAGGTGTTCCCGACTCACTTTTAATATTACTTTGGCATGCAAAATCAACACGATACTACCTCTCTACAGTCATCGGGTCTTATCGGACTGCCTCCCCCGCTAGTTTCATCGTTTGGACACTTCTGGTTAGGGGTGTTAATTTATGACACGACACAACAAAAATACACGACACGAAATGAAATCGGGAGGAAATTAAAATTCAAATTTGTGTTCGTTTCGTGTTCATGTCAAGTTTAAAAAACACGATGTCGTGTCGTGTCATATTCGTGTTCACAAATCGATACGAAACTGACACAATTAAGCATGTGGTTGTCGTGTTTGTCATTTTTGTCATGTTATATATCTTTAAATATGAATTAAATAAACTAATAATTATGTAATGTTATATTTGTTGTGTCGTGTCGTGTTGTCGTGTTTTAATTTGTTCATTTTCGTGTTAGTGAAAAAAAACACGACATCGTGTCGTGTCGTGTTCCTGTTACACAAAACATTTTTGTGTCTTGTCGTGTCAGACAAAAACATGACACAACTTCCCGATTTGACAGCCCTACTTCTGGTGGCCTCCTGTTGTCGTTGGAAATTAGCAACAATAATCGAGTGTTGCTCTCGATTTTCTACCACAACAGCTGCCGCTCGACAACCTCTTAACCACGTTCCATCAATAGATCCTGTTACCACTTCCGTCTATCATCATAATAGTTTTTTTACAACCTTGTGACAACCTTTTTACACTCCTCTAACAACTCCACATCAACTTTATTAACAATAACACTCACAGCTTCATTTGGAGGTCATGCCACTCAACTTTAACAATAAACATACACAAATCTTGCATTAGTTTTCAAGCCATGTCTATGCAACCTCCACATGATAGCAACTACCGCATGGCCTCTCGATCCATCTCTCTAAATATATTTGATGTATGGTTTACTATATATTAAATAATTATCAAAGTTTTAAATTTATAAAACAAATTCTATTGCAACTGGACTGTTATCCACATTGGGGAGTGTATCTAATCATGTAATAGTATAGTGGTAAGACTAGGTGTCGAACACAAGTGGAATCGTGTATGATTTTTATCTAGAAAATAAAAATATTAATTAACCTAGACAAATAATATAAAATTATGGGTTTTTTTAGATTAAACTAAATTCAAATTAAAAACTAGAAAACGAGAACTAAAGAGTGATTGAAAACAATATTTTAAATATACTGTCACTTATATTTCAAATTCCCCCCTTCTGTTATGGTTGGTATAGAGAAAGTGCAATGAATTTATTTTGTTGTTTACCGATTTCTTTAGCAATTAATTATCTTGGTCCGATTAACTAACATTTTTAATTATAAAGACAATTAACACAATGATCGTGTGAATAACTATCTAAACAAATAGTCTTGACTTTGAATTATGATAGGCTTGATCTTTGTTAATTAATCTCAATGGTAATGAAAATCAATTAATTACATATAATAGTTATCTAATATATTTTTTACACATTAAGGTTTATCAATCCATCACCTAACCCTATGATTTGATCCGTTACTAAGAAAAAGTATAGGGTTATTAGCCCATAATCAAAACCATAAAATGGTAAAAAGTCATATTAAACTTGCAAAATATGAATGTAAACGCAAACCAAAGTGAAATCAAAATGGTTCGAGTCTTCAAACTTCAAAATTTTGTTTTAATTGTGTTCTTCGGCCTCTATTTTGCTTTTGGTCTTCAAACTTTATGGTATTACTTAGTAAACAAGTTGGCCTCCTTTTAGGGACGAGGGGGACAACTATTTATAGATTACGATTTTGGGCTAAACGTGTCGCGTACTATAGGGTATCCGTGTTGTTCTTGAACTCTGAAGCTTGGATGTAACATGCACTCCTTTAATTTGAAAATCATTATGGTTTGTAATGATACTGTACTCTCGGTTAATTTTGTTTGTCAACATTTTTGCATTTTTCCAACACACAATCTTCTGTTATTAAAAAATGTCATTGTCTCAAACAAAATGGTCAAAAATCTTATCTCCTTTCGACGATTCATTTTTGATAACTCGGTTTCTGTCGAGTTTGATTTGTTCGATTTTGCTATTGAAGAACTTAAAACGGGTGCACCATTACAACATTATGATAGTAGCCACTATGACCTCTATCTTGTTCTTTCTTCTCCTCAACTCGGTACCGCTCTTGCTATTGTTTCATTTGACACTTAACACTAACATTTGAGTCATCCAGGCTTGTATGTTTTTCAGTTTCTTTAGTTTGGCAATTTTATTTCTTGTTCTAATAATAAGACTACATTATGTAATTCGTGTCACAAAAATCTTAAACACCCAAAGACCAAAAATAGGATTCATATTTAGACTTTCCATTTTGAGCTAAATTATATATATATATATATATATATAATATATATATATATATATTATATATATATATATATATATATATATATATATATATATATATATATATATATATATAATTTTATTCCAAATACATATAATTAACCAAAATAATAATTTCTTTTCTTTCTAGTTTATAAATAAAAGATATTTGTATTTTGTTTACCTTTTTGTTTTGATCTCCCATAAATCCATTCTAAAATACAAAATTGACATTTTTCTACTAAAAAAAATCTTAAAATACATTTTTACTTTTTAACTAAATGGCTAGTAGTATTTTCCAATAAAATACATTATATATAATAAGTGGGTTTACAATATCTTTTGGGCTAAACTACTTGTGGGCTAAGTACCACGGAAGCCCGATAACATTTTTTTTCATTTACTAGAAGCTTATATCTTTTTTTTTTATCCATTAACATCAACACTACGTCCAGCATCATTTATTGATTTTTTGTGATGTTATATTAATGAAAATTAAAATGGTCCATAGAGGTTTGGTTTGATTTTTCCCTTCAACGGTTTCTAGTTGTAATGATTTTGTTATAGGAGTAATTCTTTAGAGATCCCTTTGGGTGCTAGGTCTTTCACGTCTGGCAACAAAGAATGACAGAAAACCGAGTAAAAAGTTAATGGAATGGAGTTACTCAAGATTAAAGGGATACTAAAAGTATTATTTTTAAGAATAAGCTTTAATATCTTAAATATGATCTTAAAGTTTGTCATGCTTATAAAAAGCATTCTTAAGCTTGTCAGAAAGTGGATGTAAAGAAGATTATTGTTGAGATTGACATTCAAGTTGAAATTGATGATATTGAAAATTTCGAGGTTGTGGAATTGGCTCAAGAAGTCAATATCACATGGGGTGGAGGTTCATGAGATCTCAATGAATTGGAAAATAAGACAACAACCAATTTTAGAGGATCATCGTAGATGGGGAGCGGGTTACAAATCCAAGTTTTGAAAAAAAATAACTTTTTCGTTTTTAGATCAAAATTTGGAGAGTTGGATGTTAATTATCATTTACAAAGAAGTTCTTTAAAATAATAATAATAAAAAATAATAATAATAACTAGAAGGAATTCAGTTGCGCCGTTGGCGCTGGTTTGAATAATATTTGCAAATAGAAAGCTAGAAATAATTTTTTCAAAATGGCACTAAAAGTTATATAAACAGAATTTGTTTATGTTGCATTTATCCATGACATTCCATGAGAAAGTGAAAAAGAAAAAGAAAAACATTTACTCGGTAAAGAATGAAAAATTAACAAAACACAAAGAACGGAATGGTCAATGCCATTCCATCTGGCAACGGAATGAATAATTCCATTCCTTCCTTGATTCTTTGATTCAGAAATCTCAAGCAATTTGTTCATGCGAGCTAGTATAGCCTCCATTGTGAACTGCAAACATCAAAAATCACAATTTTTTTACTGCTTTTCACTATTATTTTTGCATTAATTAAATTCAACAGATAAGATAATTTTCTTTTTGGAATTTTTTGTAGGAGCAGATTGACCACAAACTTACAATAATAATTGGACCAATGGTCAAATCTTGAAGCTTCCTCCTTGTAGCAAGGTCGATGAATTAACATAAGAGTGATGTTTTGCTCCAGTTCTACAAATAATCAGTATAAATAAAACTCATTTTTTCAATTCACAAATTACCCTTTTTTAAGACTGATTCAAGAACATTTACTTAATTCTTATTATTTACTCGTGTCAAACATTGTCTATAGATATTGTCTTTTAGATATGGGTTAAATGCAAAAGATAGCAATCTACTTTTGTTGGTCAGTTTAATGTAACATGATTAACATCGTATTTTCATATCTACCTATTACGACATTATACTCTTAGAAATCTACCAATTATAGCAACGACATTCATATACAAAGCAATTTTCATAGTTACGTGTGATGTGGGTAATTTTTTCAAGTATAATGTCCTAATAAGGAAAACAAAAATAAAACTATGGTGCTATATTTGGGTAGATAACATATTTTTTATTTAAAATTTGTTAATAAGATTTTTTTAAATTTGAATGTTGTAAAAGAAATAAATAAAAATGAGAGCATGTGGCAGCTAACCTCATGCATCAGAAGCACAATTTCATCAAGACGTCTCAAACGCTCCAATACCTAAAATTAGTGTACAAAAAAACAAAAAATATGATACAAAAGTAGTGATTAATACTATCAGGTATTGATGATTTGTATAGTAAAATACAAAAATGGTGCATATGCTTTTTTCTTTATATTGGTCCTTATTTCAAAGTTTTCCTTGGACGTGCTGATTTAGGTTTGCATTTCAAGGTTACATATCAGTTTTGTCCCGTGTTTGAAGATTTCCGACACAAAAATGATATGGAAATCCAAAATAAGGATTACATTTGAAAAGGTTTTCAATGTTGGACTAAAATACATTAAAATTCAGAAAGTAAGAGTACATTATAACTTATTCCAATCTATATAAAACATCTCCCTTCATTGTAGCTTGAACCAAAGATGACATGGATGATTGAATGTGGTTTTAATTGATACTGAAAAACAGAAAAAATCACCATAATCTTTTTCACAAATTTCGATGTCGTAAACTACCCATATGAATTAAAGGGGAAGCATAGTAACTGTTACTTGAAGAAATTGAGTGAATTGAAACAACATATGAAACTATATAGAGAGAAAGTAGAGACTTACAATGGGAAAATTAGAGTTGATTTTTTTGGGTGAGTGGGAGATAATAGGTGGAGTAATGTGGCATATTATATTATGTGAGCCTAATAATAACCTGTAACACCAAAGTTGTTGCATATATGCAATATCACAATAAGGTTAATACCAATCAAAAAAATCTTAAAACAGAATGAATATATGTCTTAAACTCACAAACAATTACCTTTTTGCCATGTTTCCAGAAGAAAAAAACTGACTTGTCTATCTTCACATTTGCACAAATCACCCATCAAATGAAATATCTTCAAGAACACATGTTAGTTACCATAAGAATCAGTCGGTGATATAAATAATCATATGTATCCATCAACAATCAACATACCCGGGTTCAAGCATTTCATCGACCAGTTGGTATGCATAGTAAAACTCTCCTTCAAATCTCCATATCAAGTGGGTTGCACGCCTAATCAACCAAAGAATTCCGTACTCAATCAATATACTGAAATCGAAACCTATATGTAAGCAAGTAGAGCATCAATAAAATCAAAGTCAAAAAATTGACCTCATGGATGAAAGCTTGCATCTCAGGCTTCGAGAGGTCAGAATGCAGCGCAAATCTACTTATTAGGATAACATGAAGGCATACTTGCTTCTTCTTTTCTGTTTCTGTTTGGAATCGATTGTTTGAGATACAAAACGGATAAGTGTAATAGCAATTTTATTTTGATCAAAAACGTTGGAAGCTGTGGAAAATTGGAATCCCTGGAAGAAGATGGTTGGAATCAAAAACCCACAAGCACCAATTGAAAGCATGGAATCAAAAACCCACAACCACCAATAGAAACTATCGATTCAGAATAGGCTTTGGAGACGAAGTTCCTTCAGCAGACTATATGCTAATCGAAGCTCAAAACGATATAGTCAGATTTCAAACACCGGATTTTGATATTGGGTAAGAGAGAGGTGTCGTCCAGATTTTGTAGAGTGATGAAAAGCGAAATTAGACGGACACGGACGGACTTAAGAAGGGATTGAGAAGAAATAGAGATAAAAAGAAAGCAGGAGAAGGCATCCCATTGGAAGGCGACGACGGTGAATCCAAAAAAAGGCGGTGGGATAAGCTGAATTAAAATGAGGGCACAAATAAAACTTTGGTGGTCAAAATTGTGAATCCAAAAAGTCCTGTGGCCAATCTCTGAACTCCCAAATTTTCCTGTTCACCAACTCTTTAGGAATTAATATGTATATAATAATAATAATAATAATAAACTCTCAATAATGAATATTAAATTCCTTGAGTCTATTTTCCCAAATATCGAGATTAGAGATGTGATTTAGGGGTGTTGTAATGATAGAACACCATACTTGCACTACTAGAAAAACAGTGATCTAATACGGTTGAATGTATACATATAATACAGATGATGAACCGTATTCATAGTGGGGAGTATTATATTAAACAACCTAATAGAGTACGGTTATTTAACCGTACTCTTTATGCCATTCTGACCATAAATCAAATCTTCAAAACCACAATCTAATACAGTCATAAATCAATACAATACATGCATATAATCGTACTATATTACACATATATAAGTACAATCTAATACAATCATAAATCAATACAATACATGTATATAACCGTACTATATATGATTGATTCCTAGTCCATTCCATCCCTAATCAGCAGCCAACCAAACCTACTATATGATTCCATTCCCTTCCTACTAAATACGATTTCATTCCAACCATAAGAAAATTAAAGTGGGACAACATTGATCTTGTTTTCATTTTCAGAAACAGAAAAAAGAAATTACAATGAACCACTTAGTTCATTAAACATAAAACATTAAGATTCTTTTAGACTTATCCACAGTCTATACAATCTAAAAGACTATCATTTGTATACCTAGTTCATTAAACATAAAAAATATTCTTAAATTTGTTGAACGTCACACCTCTGACCTCTCTTTCCCCCTTTTGTGGCTGATTCATTGTATGCCTACAAAAACAAGAAAACTTAGGATTCAAAATCACAAATAGTTTTTAATAGAAACAATATGAAGAAAACTCAAATTATAGGATCTTCCTGCCATTAACAACTTCATAAGTATAGAAAAAGTATACTTATGTTGGACATATAATATCTAAATTCCATGAATATGAACCCAATAATAAGACAACTTAATGATATTAAAGAAGCATTCATCTATAGCAATGCAATAAAAGCATATAAGCAAATACAACTAACTCAAAATAACACAACATGAAATACAAAGGATGTGTGTGTAACTTACAAAAACTTTTATGTAAAGCCTCCATAACAGCAACCTCCATAACATAAATCTACAAACTTCCACCATAAAACACAAAATATAGCATCCTACTTTTATATATCTCATTTTCCATAAAAAAAACTTTCATATATATATATATATATATATATATATATATATATATATATATATATATATATATATATATATATATATATATATATTTATCTTTTATTGTTGTAGTTCACAAAAGTTTCTTATCCAATCATTCTACTTCCAAAAAACTAAAAATATATATATATATATATATATATATATATATATATATATATATATATATATATATATATATATATTTTATTGTTGTAGTTCACAAAAATTTCTTATCCAATCATTCTACTTCCGAAAAAACTATAATATATATATATATATATATATATATATATATATATATATATATATATATATATATATATATAAGATTCCACTTCCAAGGTTTTCTGATGATTTAGTTTAGAAAAACCAACTATAGAATTGTACTTTGAAAAACATAACCAATTATAACAATATATATATAATAACTAATCGTTAACTTGAAAAAGGCATCACTTTATCACCAAAAGTTCTCATCCATGTTTTAACGCGTGCGTCCAATTCCTCACTAGAAATGGTTTTTTGTCCTTCCAGATGTTCTACAAACAAATTAAAATAAAAAAATTTGCTATTTAACAAAGGTAAGGCTTCAGTACAATAAACAAAAAATGTAATATATATATATATATATATATATATATATATATATATATATATATATATATATATATAACAATATACTTACTTTCGGAAATCCATGTTGTCGATAAAGTACAAACTCATGCATCCAGTTCATAACGTAGTAACCATACTCCGAATCGGACAACTGTTGATTGCACTAAAAAGATTATAAACTAAGAGAAGCTTATGACTTAATCCAACTAATGAGAAGATTCAAAATTCGCACTGCTTTTTCTATATACAAAACTCTAATATGAGCTCTTTCTACAATTCATGAACCTGATCTCATTCTCTCTCTCTTTCACCAAATGCAAGAGTTAGGTTATGAAGTACACGTGCATCTTCCACATACAACATGATAGGTGTCCTCTGTAAAGCTAATAAGCTTAATGAAGCTGTTGAGTTATTCAATGAATTGGAGCATAAAAAAGATGCATCACTTAATCTTTCCACATACAACATCCTCATAGACAACCTTTGTAGATCTCAGAATCTTGAAAAGGCTTTGGAAATTCAAGAACCATGAAAGAATCTAGATTTTTTCCCATCATTTTCACTGTTAACATAATGATTGATCTACTCTGGAAGTCTTAACTATTAAACTATAACTCACGTGTACATCATATTTTTACCCTGTCAAATATTATTGTAGATCTCCATCAATATCTTTCGTATATATCTCCTATTAGTTGCACGCTATTGTATTATAAATAGGATATCTGTTTACTTGTATATCAATATATAACATACGGGTTCTCCTTCTTCCTCTGTATTCTCTGTTAACTTTATATGGTATCAGAGCGAGGCTCTGTACAAACCACACCCACGAATTCCCCTCTATCTTCTCCTCCTTCTTTCCCCAAATAATCCTCGGCAATGGGAGACGGAAACTCATCCTTCAATGTCAATACTATTCTCAAAGACATCACTATTGTCAATTTTCCGGCAACCCTAAAATTGACATCTACTAACTATCTTGGATGGAAAACACAAATCGAAGCATTGTTACAAGGGCTTGACCTCTATCGATACATTGATGACACTTATCCTGCTCCATCACCAACTACTGCTAACGATGGCACAGTCACTCCTCATCCCGACTACCAGAAGTGGTTCAGACAAGATCGCCTTCTCTTTGGAGCCCTCGTGGGAAGCCTCTCTCCACAGATAGTCCCCTTGATCACAAACGCCTCTTCATCTCTAGAAGCCTGGAAAACCCTAGCTAGCACGTATGCATCTCCTTCGCGTGGTCACATTAAACAGCTCCAGTACCGCCTTAAACAAATCAGCAAGACTTCCAATCAAACAATTACTGATTATATGCAGAATGTCAAAACCATTGTGGATGAACTTGCCATTCTTGGCAAGAAACTCGATCAAGAAGACCTAATTGATGTTGTCATCAATGGTCCGGACCACACTACCTACAAACCAGTCCTAGATGCAATCCACGCACGAGACTCCACCATCTCATTTAATGAACTTCATGAAAAGCTCATCAATCATGAACTTTCTCTTGCACAACAGACTTCAGCCACAGGAATCCATCATCCTGCCACTGTGTCCTATACTCATCAGCAACATCAGAAGAAGCAATGGCCCTCACGACAGGAAACCACATTAGGTCTGCTCCCCACTCCTGCAAAACAAACTCCTCAAGCTACAGGACAACGACCTTTCCTGGGTAAATGCTAGTGGTGCCATCACAAAGGACACTTTCTGAGCAACTGCTTCACCTTCAAAAATATCTTTCCAAATGCATATGTACCTTCTCCTTCTAACCGTTTTCTTTAGGTCTCAAATGTACAAGCACATATCATGAATCCCACACATACACCCGGCACAACAATTGGCTTTTCGATAGTAGGGCAAGCTTCCATGCCACAAATGACCTCAATAATCTCTCTGTTCATGCCCCATACGATGGAACTGAAGAGCTCGTCATTGGTGATGGACCGTGTTTAAAAATATCTCATATTGGCTCTCTAATCCTTCATACACCTCATACTCCTCTAATTCTTAAAAATGTTCTCTATGTGCCTTCTCTATATCGTAACATTATATCCATATCTCGTTTATGTATTGACAATCACTTTCTAATTGAATTCTACTCCTTTGTTTTTGTCATAAAGGATTTGGCAACCAAACTCCTCCTATTCAAGGTCACAGCAATCAAGGGCATGTATGAGCTCAGTACATCCCCATCACCAGTCATTCTCACCATGCAAACAACATCTTCTTCCATGTGACATCACCGACTAGGCCACCCCCAAAATAAAGTCTTCAAGCAATTATCTTCCCTTCTCTCTTTTAATTCTAGTTCAATAGACAATTGTAATTCATGTCGGATAAATAAAAGTCATCGTTTGCCATTTCATGATTCCTCTTTGTCATCTAGCAAACCTTTAGAATTAATTTTTTCAGATGTGTGGTGCTCTCCAGTAGAATCTTATGACCATTACAAATATTATATCATCTTTGTTGATCACTTCACAAAGTATACATGGCTTTACCCCATGAAAAAGAAATCTGACTCCCTAAATATTTTCACTCGCTTCAAATCTCTTGTTGAAAATTATTTTCAAACAAAAATAAAGCAATTATTCTCTGATAATGGCGGAGAATATGTGAAACTTGCCACCCATCTAGCCTCCCATGGAATCTCTCACCTTACATCTCCTCCACATACCCTTCAACATAACGGGTATGCTAAACACCGACATTGACACATCGTCGAAACCGGCCTCGCTCTTCTCTCTCACTCCCAAATTCCAGTCACTTTCTGGCTTTTTGCATTCACCACCGCAACCTATCTTATTAATCGGATGCCCACTTCTACACTCATTAATCTATCCCCTTTTCATTGTCTCTTCCAAATAGAACCCAACTATTCCAAACTCAGAAGTTTTGGTTGCTTATGTTATCCATGGCTTAGACCATACTCTCCACACAAGCTACACCCTCGTTCCACCCCCTGTGTCTTTGTTGGTTACTCTCCAACACAAAGTGCTTATTATGCTTTTGATCCTACCTCCCAGAAACTAT